TGAATTCACTAAAATTAATTAACTGCTCAACAGTTATATTATTAATTATACTAAGTACAAGTATTATATGTAAACCCTTTTGTCATTAAAATGTTTTTTCCTAAAATTAAAACAATAGTTGTCATATCAGAAAAAAATGCACAATTTATAATATTATTATTTAAATAAATTTAACGTGACTCAAATATATATTTTTTTAATTATAATTTGTATATATATTACAATTATTTCAACATTTATTTATTAAGTAAACATTCATGTTAGTATACCATTTTTGATGAAGTCGACCATTATTCATCAGTAGTAATCATAAAGTAGTTTATTTTATTGTTTAATGTTTACTTTAATAATAATTAAAGCTATTAGATTGATGTTCAACTATGTCTACAATACAAAACTGTAGAATTATAATAGTAGTCATTCAATATTTATGTAGAAAATATTCAATAACGTCATGATATATGAGTGGTAACCAAATCCGATTTAAGAATATGTGACACTTACTATGATACAATTATTATAAATTATCATTGTATGGTCGATATCAGTCAATATTAGACTATAAAGATATTCTAAATTAGCATATTATTATTTAAACAAGTATGTTAACTCGAGCTGCAAAATATTATTTATGAGAAAGAGAAAATAACAATACAAAAATATAACATCTCAACTTTGAAAAGGAAATTATTTGATTGATAATTAAACGCTATGTTACGTCATTCAAAAACTAAACCTTCGTAATTAATATTACAACCGTTATATATACACATTTAAATTTATCGAAAGTACCGGAAAATTTAAAAATTATTTTCTGAATATTTATAATAAGGCCTTGTTTGCTTAGAAATTTTACGTAAATCAAATTATATGATATAATATATATATATATATAGCACTCATTTTCTAATTCGAATTATTATATAAATTGCACAAAACTAATTTTTCCGTTACGTCCAACGCACTTGTGTGGGAACAGTGAAAACGAAATGCACATATGTTTAAATGTTTATGCGTCGTGCAAGGAGGTTGTGGAATGGGTATAAGATTTAACCGAAAGCTTATGTTTTGTACGGACCATGGAATACATTTCTGATTCTGGTTATGCTGGACCAGCGCTCTTGGAAATTTCCACATTACTACACGGTGTTATAGGGATTTCCACTTTTCCTCCTCCCACGCACTTTTTGGGATTTCTATTTTACCGGCCGCCACTATGGGATTCCCATTTTATCGTCCGCTGGACGGATAAATGTGACATTCCAACGCTTCGACCGTGGACGAAAACTAAACTTTCGGTATAGGTGTGACAAAAATGTTATACCTAAAGAGTTATGTTTTAATTTCGATTACCGTTTACCTTTGTGCTTATCATTTTGATTTCTACGTTTGTATAGCACTTACATGTATAACGAGAACTTTGAATGGTTGATGAAATTATCTTTTGTGATGAAAGTAATTCAACAGCAGACGATCCGATAAGTAAGGGAGCAGGTTTTGGAATTTTTCAAGAATTTCGTGGAAGATTGAATGCTCTGCAAACGTTATCAACGTCTTAAAAATAAGGGTTGATAAATAATTAATATAAATAATAGGTACTTATTATATAATCCTACAATAGGTAGTAGGTACCTACTCTATTTTTCCATTAATAATTATTACATTAAATATCTGAATATCTCGTCACCATACATGACCATGATTACTATGTGTAAAGTGACGTTAAAAAGGTTTTAAATTCACGAATAAATGATAATTTTGTACTTACCTATATTTTACTACCTAGTAGGTAATTAAAAAACTACAACTAGCAATGAGAAAATGAGTATCCATGGTTTTAAAACTGTTTTTAAATTACCTTGTGATAAAATCATAAATTTAAACTAAAATTTATACCACATTCTAGTATCAGTTGAATGACTTTCATCAGATTTAACCTGGCTATTATTATAGAAAGATATACATGAGACTCATTTCTATTGATACTTATATTAAGTGAGCTCTAATTATATCCAGTTTTACTGTAGGGAAAATGGACTCAGTACGCGCCTGAGCTCATAATCTATAAAAAACCTTTAAAATTGTTCCTATTCACCCCAAATTACGGTACATTATATTTGAGATACAATTTTATGTTTTTATAAATAATTTCTGTAAAATATCAAATGTACAAATAATAAAATTATAAGTATTTATTTAATTAGATTTATATTATTATTCCATTAAACCTATTGATAGGTAACTTATAGCCTAAATGATAAGTAAATAAATAAATTACCATCTTTAATGTTATTATTTAATTGAGTAAATTGAAACTTTCATGTTCTTTGTTTATCATCATGATATCATTATTTATTACTAATCCTATAGGTAGCTCCACACTATGCATGTTTTGCGTTTTGTGTTTTCACGTTTTCGTTTAATTTCGTGAATAGTGTGTATTGCTTTTTCACGAAAAAGTTTTTCGTGAAAACTGTTTCGTAATGTTTCATGAACGAGGCGGTAAATTGACGAAATCAAAGGACTTGAAACAATAATTTCTTATTGTTTCGTATCATTTTGTTAGGTTTTGTTTCGCGTTACATATGTTTTCTTAAACAAGAAGTTTATATAATTAATATAAACTAAATTAGATATAAAATATAGGTAAACTAATGTGATCAATTATCATCGTGTGGAATCACGTCATTTTGTTAAATTCCAATTACCAATTTCCAAAACCGTTCTCTATTTTTAAATAAAGTTGTATTCCACCAATTTCGTGTTTTTAGTTTTTTTTTTTTTTTTTTTTTTTTTTTTTTTAGTTTTGAAGCCAATACAATATAAACTGCATTGGCAATTGATAATTTATTTCCTCTATCACTATTCATTTTTCTTTAAATAAAAGGGAATGAACAATCTGTATGTTGACACGAACTAAACGTACTAAACAACAATAAACTGAAAACCGAACGAAACACTACGAAACGGAAATCACTAAGCGCGAAACTTAAAACATGCATAGGTTAGATGCATAGGTGGAGCTACTTTTACATGTTTTGTTCCGAAAAAATATTTTACTGATAGTCTATCGTCCATAAATATTAAATGTTTAAATATTTAGGCAACCATAATTTTTTAAATATCATGAAGTCCGCAAATTTAATTAGTTGTCCTACCCTTTTAAAAGTTGAAATGATGCTCCTGTCCTATATGTTATTCTGTTGTGATTATTATTAAATTCTTTACATTTTCTGAATGATTTTAATCGAATGAAATATATTTCTTTACATTATATGTCTATGAATGAGAATTTTATTACATAGTGCATTTATACGTTTAAATAATGATTCATATTTGAAATTTTGAAAAAATCTGGTAACTAACAAAAATTATTATAATACAAACATAATTTATCATTTATTATTTATATTCGATGAGATATATTTTAAATTGATTATTAATTTTATAATCTCTTAATACTTTATTATAGTCGAAAAAATATTTGTGTACTCATTGATGATTCACATATTAATTACTTAAGTAGAGTAAATATTTATAATATAATTTTTGTGTTATCATGATGCATCGTAATCCCATTAACTCCACAACTGGTCTGTATTATAAACAATAATGATCAAAATGACAATAATAATATTAATTATTTTATATTAAATTAATTTTTATTCATATTAATCATATTAATCTGTTAATTAGTCTAATATTAGTAATACTCTATTAATTATGTTTTACTTTTACAAAATTACGATTGTCAAATATATGAATGAAAAGCAATTTTACTATTTGGAAATTCTAACTAAAAAGTGTAGAAGCATACGAAAACGTGTATAACGCCTAGTATTACGTTTATTCATAATACCATAATTAATCACATTGTCAATAACATGCATTTGTATGTAATAAATTATAAATCCAACAAAACCAAAATGGATATTACCTGTGAATTAGACAGTAATAAATTACTAATCGTGGGTTGAAACTTATCACATTGAAACCATTAAAATATAGAATATAACCGAACTTGCCATATTGAATTAATTTATGCAACTATGAAACTGTTTGTAAATATATTTTTAACAATATGAACTATTTTTAATTAATAATTAAAATATTAAAATAAGAAAAAATAATTTATAAATATTATCAAATAAGTATGGTTAGAACAAAAATTAAAAAAAAGTTTTGTTTGGTTCAATGTCAATTTTCAATTAATTTTATACTAAACAAAACATATTTGCTCATTTGCTTTTAAGAAATAAACAACGATATTGAAATTCTCTATTTATATTATTTACTACCGTCGATTCAGTTAATAATTTCGTTGAATAGTGAAATTTAAAATTCCCAGTATGAAATATTTCCGATAACATTAAATGTACAAACTATTTTGTTTTAAAATGTTTTATTTTTAATAACAGTTTAAAAGAATCGTCAAAGTTTCAATAATTCAGAGGGGCGGCACCCGTTTCGTCCAGATGCACATTTCGACTAAAGCCATTTTAGTCGTTTTCAAATTAAGTTGGCAATGGTTTTTAAATAATATAATACATATACAATTATTAATTTTTATTATTATTATGATGCCCAAACAGAAACTTATATCAAAATTAATAGTGTTGAAATTTCTAAAAAAACTAAAGATAAAAAAACGAAGGAAAGACAGGAATATAATGAAAAACGTATACTTTTATATAGATCTGATGAAATTACGAGATATGAGTTAATAAAAAGCATGTGTAGAAAATTTAAAAAAATGATAATTTTTGTAAATTTATTTTTTTTATGACTTTTAGTGAATTTTAGTAAAAAATAATATAGTGTAAATTGTAAATTGTTTAATGCTTTTTTTGTACTATAACTGTAATAATGCATAGTTAAATTTAAATATGTATTTTATAAAAACTTATTTTTAAAAATAGTTAAAATAATAATTAATAAAAATAATAATATAATAACTATAATAAAAGTATATGTATTATATTATTTAAAAACCACTGCCAACTTAATTTGTAAACGACTAAAATGGCTTTGGTCGAATCGGGCATCTGGGCGAAACGGGCTGTGCTCGGAGACGTATATACTCACTTTGCTTCAATTACCAAGCTAATCCATTTATCCATTTGACAAACGTTTCGAATGAATAATTTTTTTAAATGTTCTAATAACAGTGTTTTGTGCTGCTGCGTGCAGTCCATCGAATTAATAAGTGATAATTGACAGTGAAATTTTTTTGTGACTTTTTCCAAGTATGCTTGAGTACGATTGGCAACGTCAAGATCCCCTTCGCAACTTAGAAATATGTTTACGCTCTCCTTTCTTAACATATTAAATTCTTTGTTCAAAATTCTATGATCATCATCTAAAAGTTGTTCACAGTCTCTTGATATTTTCTGATGCCTTGAATCTTGTGACTTGATTTGCATGACCTTCACAAAAAAATAAATAAAAAATAATATATTTAGTTAAGTCTAAAGTACAAATGTTTCGTAAATACATAATGCGCATTATTAACTAAACGTATATAAATATATAAGCACCAAGAGACAATAGGTCAAATTATAATCTTATATTAAAATAACAACTAATAAGAAAAAAAAATACATATAATACTGATTAATAATTATAAAGATATAACTATTTGATATTTTTTATCATTATCTGAATATAATATAAAAAAAAAAAATGCTAGGATTGATAATACTTAAATTATCATTTGCACGAAGAAGTATCGTGTTGATATTAATTATTTTATTAATCGAAATCTTAATTTTGGTTAAATTTTTTATTATGAAAAATGGTTATACGTGTATGATTTTAAATTATTTTTTTTCGCCAAAAAATTAATTTATAATAAAACACTGCTACAATTTGTTTGGTCACAAAAGATTTTAATACAACTAAATTATCTAAAACAAAGCAAAAGTACTATTTATAATAATTGTAATGTAAGATGGAAACGGTCGTAATATTATATTATTTTGAAAGATTTTTATATTGCGTTTAAGGGGTTTTAGTCTGGCAATTTACATACATAAATGTGTTTATACTTTTCCAAGGCTTTTAAAAAAAATACGGCTAAAACATTTATTCTGAAAACTTCATAAATTTACCAGCAATGAGGTATTATTTTTAGAGGAGAACTTAGAGAGTGATCATTCACAAAGAATGATATAAAAATAAATTATGATATGTATTCCGTTAAGGTAATTTTAAATAAATGACCAGTTCGTAGTATGATTTTTATATCTTGTGCGTATGATTAAACTTTGCCTAATAGTTATTTGATATTGTTAAAATATTAATTTGATACATAATTCTTAAGGTTTTTGAGATTTTCCAATTTCAAGAGTTTACCACGTGCTCAATCTAAATATAATTTAACTTAAAATCATATATCATGCAATTTAAATTGAATAATTTCTGAGAAACAAAATTCATAAGATATGAATTAACTTCTTAATTATCAGATTTTATTTTAATTGTTATAATCCTAACACAAATATTTCGTTAGTCCTGTATAAACACACTTCAAAAAAGCAAGACAAATTAGTTTTTCTAGTAGTCTTTTTCAGATATAATGTAATTAGGTGGAAATAAATATCAGTGTAATATATATATATATATATTAGATTAAAATCGAGTAGTTTCATAAACAAGTCAATGAATTGTTTTAACTTTTTCAAATGTGTAAACAATTAATGTTTCTATAGAGAATTGTTTTTGTGGGTAATGAGTTAATTTTTATGTGATTCACATTATTTTATTAAAAATAATATTTTCGTTGGTTTTATATTTCTAGCTTTTAGTCGGCGTTAACGAACGTGAAACAAATCATCCAATGACTTAGTTCTTGGGATAACATTTTTTTTCATGATTTATTTTGTAATAAATATAACAGTTTTTAATCAACTATAGTTGTGAACTAACCTTATATTCAAAAAAACTTCCTGCCAAAGGACTCGTCCTTAAGACTTTTTTATTTAATTTTTTGTTACGCGTTCAACACTTTTCACTGAAATGGAAGTTAGCAACAGTTATACTAATAAAAAAACCTGGTAAGGATAAATCAAAACTTGATAGCTACAGACCGATAGTCTACTTACCTCTCTATCAAATATTTTTGAAAAATGTATACATATGAGATTACAAAATTAATTGAATAGTGCAGATGTTATCCAAAAATTCTAATTTGGATTAAGATCAAACCACTCGAACGTACATAGCTTTTTCGTATAACGGAACATATTAGTATTTCCTTTGAAAAACATTGCCATACTGGTGCTGTATTTATAGACGTCTCAAAAGCGTTTGACAAAGTATGACACGAAAGTCTTTTATACAAACTAAAATCTTTCAATATACCGAAGTGCTTATTTAATATTATTAAGTCGTTTCTAACAAATAGATAATCCTCAGTTAAAATAAACAAACATTTTTTTGACCTCTGTTCTATTTCTGCTGGTGTACCTCAAGGTTCCAAACTGGGACCTATCTTGTTCAATATATTCCGATCCAGAATAAATGGACGTAGCCGTTTGGACGTGAGGACAAATGGACGTCAAAAAAAGAAAAATAAATAAGTTATTTATGTATTTTTTATTTAGTTTTTTTGTAAATTTTGATGTCAAAAATATTCATTCAAAAGAACTTCATTGCGATTTGAATTAATTAATGAAATCTTACATGTACACTTGAATGCAATTTCTACACGACTAACACGGTTAGTTATTAGATGTGTACTGTCGTGTCTCGTGTATCACCGTGTTTCGATAAAGTGTGATAATTATTACAAGTTTTAAAAACCAATAAGTTATATATATTGATATAAAAAGTACCTATTACCAAAACGATAAAATTCGATAAAGTTTGATATTGTGATACGATAGTTATATTATGAACATAAAATATCAATGGTTTTATAACTTATAAATATATAATTTTTTTTTTGACGTTCATTTATCCCCACGTCCAAAAGGCCACGTTCAAAAGGCCACGTTCAAACGGCCACGTCCAAACGGCTACGTCCATTTGTCCCTATTCGAATATATTCATGTCTGATATACTGCAGTCAACACGTACGAACATTGTTCTATTCGCAGATGAAGCAACTATGTACAGTGAATTCTGTAACGTTGAAGCGATAACAAACAATCTACAAGATCACTTAAACATACTTGCAAAATGATGCAAAAGCTAGAAAATACACATTAAATGCTCCAAAAAGCACAGCGGTCATATTTAGCTTACGTTGCTGTTCCTCTACCTTTCTACCTCTAAGATTTTATAACGATTCCATGCCTTGGCAACTTTCTGTCAAGTACCTTGGTGTCACACTAGACTAGTAGCTAACCTGGGTGCTTCATATAGCTACTAAATTACAACAAGTATACCAGCGCTTCTTAATATTATTTTCTATTCTAAACAAAAAAATTAGTTGAACATAAAAAATGTTCAGTATTAATTTACAAGCAACTATTATGCTCACTAATTACCTACACTTGCCCTGTCTGGGATAACTGTTCAGCGACACATTTAAAAAAAATTCAAATTTTCCAAAACAAAATATTAATGATAATAACAAATGCACCATGGTTCATACGCAACGAAAATCTACATAAAGACTTTCGAATTAGTAAAATTCAAGATCATATAAGTGCCCTAGCCACAAATTTTCATAGTTATTCCACAAATCAACACGCTCACTACATTTCGATTTACACATACGTCCACCACCTTAAAAACGTTTAAAACGTGGTCATCCGCATGATCTTATGCGTTAATTACTATTAAGTAAATTATTATAACCTAATGTAATTATATTATTCATCTACACTATTATTATTGTCTATGTCTAACCAACCTAACTTATTACTATCGCTTATCTTACTATTGTTATTATTATTATTATTATTACTACTACTTATAATTATTATCATGTTAAAACAGTCAAAAATTAACGTTACTAATTATCCATAGATTTAAATAGCCTTATGACTAAGAATTTCTTATTATAAATTAATTTAAAAAAATAAATTAAAAAAAAAAAAATAAAGAAAAATTATAAAATACCTATGATTTTGTCAAATATTAAAATGAAATAAAACAAATGGTTTATAATCATTTTGCAAAGATATTTTTGATCAGATCACATCAAAATTCGTCGTCATCACTCTGTAATTTTATGCTAAAATAATTTCAAAAGGTTTTTTTTAATTATTAAAATATAATTTTTCATAGAAAAATGTTTTTAAATTATATGATTATAATGAATCGTTCATAATTTGTAAAATATATACTTATATAACTTTACCGAAGGGTTAACATTAAACGTCAACATAAAAATATAAATATAAATTTAAATGATTTTTATGAATTTTGAAAATGATGAACTTTACCGAAGGGTTAACATAAAACGTCATCATAGAAATGTAAATATAAATTTAAATGATTATTCTTATTGTAATAACCCGAAAATACAAAAGTAAAAAAATAAAGGAAAATAATTATAAAAGTGAGGAGATATAGTGTATAGTACCTATGTATTTATGTATAATGTGTTATGACTTGATTAAATTCCTCCTTGTTTAAGAGAGGGCTCTCGGGGTTAAAAAGGTTCGAGAGCCGATCAGCGCAACTAGACGGTCATCATTACATTATGCAGAAGTCGTTCAATAAAAAAATTACTTCATGCCAGTCCAGGGTATAATTAATTATTCAAAATACGTAGTTAACTAATTTTTAGATGTATACGTATAATTTAATCTAGAAATTGGTAAATAAAAAACAAGTAAAGTTAATTAAAAGTGTAAAGTAGTAGTAAAAGCGTGCGGACGAATGTAACACGACATTTACTTGTAATGTTTTATATAAAAACTCTATTCAAATTATTCGTACGTTTTATAATGACATAGAATTTGTTTTTGCTGAGAGTACTTTATCAAAAATAAAAAATTCACAACTGAACTCTAAACCGTAAACAGGCGACGGACGAATAACGGCGATTCGTATATAATATAATATTCAAATATAGTGCTAACGGTGTTATACGGGCCGTGATAACCAAGTTATTTGTACCGTTACATCAATGCACAAGATAATGCACAAGATTTAGACGCATTGGGCAAATAAATAAATAATAGTAACACTACTAATGGTTTACAGCGGTACACAACAAATCCAAATATTTTCCGTAAAACGCGTGCGTCAAAGATTTTATTATCCTCCAGATTTTACTATTTGTTCATAATCTGTGTTGGAAATATTCACGTCCGAAAGTAAACAAAATCGAGTTGCCGTTCCTAACATTTACGCATCATATATCGCAAGATCAAAGCATACGATTACCTGTAAAACAAAACTATATGCGTCGCAGTGAACTTCTGACGTGTGCTTTAAAAAATAATTTTTGGATTAGTGCGGTATAGGATAGGAAAAACTCACCTGTATCTCGTGTTTCAGACGTTCGTTTTCGGCTCGCAACGCGTTTGCTCGTTTCCTCAGGGTCGACATGGCCGACGTCGTCCCTCGTCGGTATGGCTGCGGCCCCTCCGGTTCGGTGTGAACGTTTATCATTTGCGAAGACGAACCATCGTCACTCGAGGAAGGTGCTGAAAACATTTTGGAAAACTATAGCCCAAAACAGCCGTCGATCGAATGAACCAACAACGGTACTACGAAATTGACATGATTGATATTATAACAATTCGACCGGATTTTGTAACCATGGACCGCAATACATAGTTACCGCGACTCAACTTGAACAGATAGAATTGTATAGAGCGGCGTTCTTTCACGGTTTCGACTCGTGAACCATTCTTGTAGGTAAAAAAAAATAAAATTCCTCACACACGTCGACTACGAAATGTAAAAAAACAAAGCTCAATATATATCACAAACAAAATATATCACAAAGAATGTAATAAGAAAACCGCGAACTCATTCTAAAACTCACGCGACTCACTTCAGATGAAATCGGATTTTAGATGCACTTTTCATCAAAATCACTTGTACATAAACGGCCGACACTTGATTGTTTCGTCAAATCAGATTAGCATCCAAACCAAAAATAACCATTAATCTAAAAGTATTAGAACATGACGTGCAATTTTAAATTAAAAACCAAACGATTTTTTCAAAAACTACGAGATATATATATAAATATTTATTTTTAAATATAAAAGTCTTATTTTTATATCGCATTACTATACATTTATTTAGCTATTCCAGCTGTTCGAAAACTGTTTTAATTTACCCATCTACAATCACCAACATGTTGCAGTCCCTTGACAACCAATAATTATGTAAATAAGGCGAAAAGTATTAATTTTAAGTTAATAAGTGGTTTTATTTATTTCTTTTATTAACAAAATATATCAAATATACATAAGTCATGAGTTCATAACTCACGAGACTACAAAATTAACCATTGGCGATTAGGTATACGTGATGTTCAAGGGGGGGGGTGGAAATAAAGCCCCCGCTCTATAAATATATACGGATTATAGGTATAAATGTATAATGTATATATTTTAATAATATTAATACACTTCAACATTAATGGATTATAAAAAGGATATAAACGCATTGATTTATAACATTTATCTTTAATAATTATATAAAATTTGCAGATAGGTGTTGTTGGGCCAAACTTGTATTAAATTTAAAAAAACTAAATCTCAAGGGGAGTGGGCGATGCACTTATCGTCCCCATCCTTATAATCGACATACAAATTAACCATTATGAATGATAATAAAACGTAGGATAAACATTTTTTGTTTACATGAATTATAACGATTTCAAAAGTTTATCTTGTAATTTGGATCTATACTTTATATAAATTATTTTTTCCGTTCAAACTGTAAAGTCTACTTTATAAATCTATTCGATTATGTGCAATTTTATTACTTGGTGCATCTTTTTGCACTTATGCAATTTTCAGCTTTTAAACCTTTTAAAGTTGAATTACTGAAAATGTTCATGGATTTCAAGTCTAAACGAGGAAAATAAGGAATTCACAATTAAATAACCGGATTTAAAAGTCTGAAATAAAAACTTGAGCTTATAGATTAAAAAAAAAAAAAAATCAATATTATAAGTTGAACAAATTGACCTAAATAAATGTCGTAGGTGCAATAAACTGCGACGCGTGATATTCGCTATAATATGTGTGCGTGCCTCGGGCACACACGAAACGGAAAATTCTTCTAAAACAATTCCTCCGATCAATCCCCTGACCGCATCCATCGAAAGCCATCATTGATTCTGGTTCATTTCATGAAAAACAGAATCGCGCGGATTCGTATGATTTAATGTTTTCCAACCTGGAGATGTTCACACGTTTTTCAAAAGGTGCAGGTAGTAATCGCGAAGCAAATTTTATTC